TTAAATCCTTTCGCAAATTTTCGGTAGTCATTGTCAATTCAGCAATTCTTTTACGCATTGCAAGATCGTTATCAGATCTATCCACAAAATCTTTTGAATCTGTAAAAGGATTCAAAGTTGAATGGGATGGAGAATCTTTTATATTTCCAGATTTACCATTGACAGGGGATCCGTAAACGGAGGATGAAGATGTAGGACCAGATTCTCCTTGGTTCTGTGACATTGAAGAGTCAGAAAGACGTGGCTTCCTTCTTATAGTTTTTGATACTTTTCGACGTATATTGGGTAATAAATCTTGTCTACCACGTCTAAATTGTGAATGAGAAAATACGCAAGCGTGTTTGCTACGGACATGTTTTGATTTGCGTGCATCTGATACTCGATAAAATCCATATATCTGAAATGAAAAAAAAATAATGAGGCTCGAAATTATAAAAAAAAAAAAAAAAAAAAAATGTAACGACTTATGTACATTAAGTTGTCGAACAAATGAAGTGAATTTGCAATGTTTGAAAAATTTCGGTAAAACATTTTGTGCAAATTCATCCATATTACAAATCACAAACACATCTCCCGTTTCGTTCCACGTAAGGTATTCTTTATATTCGTCACCGTCAAGCAACCTAAAATAAAACATATACGAAGTTAATATAGTTCATTTATAATATTAAAAATCAGATCAATTAAAATCAATTAAACTAATTTGACTTCAAAAAAAATATAAGAGGGCAAGTCGACAATATTCTGCACGAAAGTTAATTTAGTCTTTACATTACCATTTTAAGGTACTTTAAAAAATTTTTAAAGTACTTTACATGGCAAAGAAGAAGAAAAAGAAAAAACTTACTGATATAATTTTGCTACGAACACTGATACTGTGTCGAGATCATACTTGCCCGTTTCTTCTTGAAAGAGAGGCTCCCCCTCTGGACAATTCGTTACATGTGAGGGATTTTCAGTGAAAACTTCATAAGATAACATCTCGTTTGATTGGGAAGGCATTATATTGGTCAGAGTATTACGAATGTGCTCATTCGCTGTCATGACAGATGGTTACAACGTGACTTTGTTGTTTCGTTCCAAGAGGTTGTTGATATTTAGTGAACCTTTTTTTTTTGTTCGGTCTTTACAAGAAATATTGTGTAGGAGATTATTAAGGAAGAACAACAGATCACAAAAAAAAATTATTTAGGAAAAAGAAGTGAGAGGTGGTGGCTGAGTAAGAAAGAAAGAGGTGTGAATTTGTGGAGAGCGTGTGGTAAGGTTTGTAAGTGTGGTAAGTGTGTGTGTATAAGAACGTGCGTAAGTTTGTGTTTGTTCACAAAATTGTTTTTTTTTCTCTTTTTTTTTAAAAATGATTTCTTACAAATAGGTAAAGTATGTAAACGAAACACACAGACCACCACAATTTGTACTTTGTTTATGCAGCAGCAAACAGAAGGCGGTTGCAAATGAAAGTGAAGTAAAGACTAGGCATAAAAAACCGGACGCTTTTATATATATATAATTTTTATAGGACCTTAACGCTCCCCATTTATCACAAGGCGCGAATACAAATTTTTCGTTGCGTGCGCGAAGTCGTCGTAGAAGAAGAGTTTGTTGTGTGTGTGTGTATTTTGAGCACGTTTGACCATAGAGGAGCTTTATGCTCGTACAAACCGGTGACCTTTTTTCGTTTAAGGTGAAATTTTTAGTTTGGGGACGGAAACCGATGAGCGACGCACTACAGCACAGCACATTATAAAAGGTTTATTTAGAAATATGGCATTCTAATATTTATATAATGTCAATAAAACCATGCACTTTTCAAACGGTAGAATTATCACTATTGCAGTTATGTGTGACAGTTTTGTATTTTGGGAGTGGCAGTGTGGGGCAGGAAAAAAACATCATCAGATCATTTTCCGATTAAACGATAATAAAAAAAAAAAAAAAAAAAAACTATATGGTTTACGGTTTTGCGGTCGCGGGTTGCGACGAGTTAATGAAAACCTTGAGCTCTTTTTTTTTTTTTTAAATGCTGCAATGAGAACCATAAAAGTTCAAATTATGTATGCATATCACCAAAATCGATGGCTATAATAGTAAATAAAAAAAAAAAACTGATAAAAAAAAAAATTGGGTAATATAAGTCCCGGAAAAAAAAAAGAAATAAGGATATCATAGATACTTTTTTTTACCGGGTTTTAGATATAGATTTTATTTTTATTTTTATTTTTTTTATTTTACATAAGATCAAAAAAAAAAAAAAACAGTATCGGGAACGATGTGATTGTACATCAAGTAAAAACCGGTAGGAGATGTATCCTAAGCACGGGGGCTTGGTCGATAAATGAATGCTAGCATCGGGTGTGAAGCCGTGGCGCAGCCGCTGTTAGGTTCATCTAAATAAGGAGAAATATGGTAAAGAACTATTGGTTTCTTTTGTTTACTCAGCGCCATATAGCATGATACGAATTAACACACACTTGATTCCAAAAAAACGTGGCAGACATTTTTTTTACACAGTTGAAAGGAGTTTGTTTGAAAATAAGTTAGACTTTTAATACAAATTCAAAGGATTCGGGAATTCTTTGTCATTCAAAGTGTTTATTAATGAACAAAGAAAATTAAATGTGACATAGGAAATTTTTGGTAGTATCAATGCATCGGTGAAGAACATATGCCGGTAGATCCATAGGGCAACACACATATCTGTATATATGCAATGTCATAATTTATCATGTATGCGCTGCATATTATTGCTTGTAAGTTGGCTGAATTTCCTAAAAATCATCTGCGAACAATTGAATACATGCGCGTAAAACAATAATTTCTGCACGCATACAAGGATTTAAAAAAAAAAAACTGTCAATGTGATATCACATCATGCGTTTATTTTTCTTTAAAAATATTAGGTGACATTTAACATGTTGATGCAAAGATAAATGCAATCAGGTTCTTAAACTTGTGCTTTAACCTTTTTATCAAATTCTCTACGCATATAACCGGTTTTTATGTCATTAACGTGGCGGATGAAAACTTTCTTAAAATATAATTTTTTTTTTATTATACATGTTCAGAACGCGATTCAATAAAAATTAATTGCTTTTCCGTTACTAATGTTAAAAGATTTGATCGAAAATATTTAAAATATCATACATTGACGCATTGATATATTGCTTTATTGATGTACTATATTATAAATTAAAGAAACTGTAAAGACGCCACTTGCCTAGGTTAGCACTAGACTAGATTTTCATTATTATTTATTTGCATAAAAGTTGTTTGTGATATTTTGTCAAAAAAAGCTTTTTTTTTTTTTTTTTTTTTTTTTTTTAGCTACCAATATTAGAATGATCAAAATGAGCTTCCACTTTTGGCACAAACCTTTTTTTTAATGTCACGGTTCAAAAGACTATAATTCTCTTGGTATTTCTCCGAGATGTGAATTTCCTCATTCTTGGTAAAAAAATGCAAGGACACTCATTCTTCAATGTGTTTTCTGTCTGGGGCATGCACCAAATACATATGAAAGATTTTAAAGGGCATGATGTAGGAGACCATTGTCTGAAACGCCAAATTTCCAAAGGAAACCCTCCGCAAAATAATAATAATAATAATAATAATAATTCTGTAATAATAATAAAATAAAATAATACGTAATAATAATCGAAATCTCAAATAGGAATTTTTTTTAAAATCTTTATTGTCGTTGGTTCATTATTCCTGCCTTTATTATTTCTCATCATGTTCCCATTACAGTACAAATAAATTACGTACTAGTCACGTGATCAACGCTCGACAACTTTAAAAAATATCGTAACAAACAAAAATCATTTCTTCGCAGCAATAATAAACAAAATTCAAAAAAGTCAGTTGTCTCATATCACAACATTATTTGTTCGCATACAAATTACTCCTTGCAGTTTCCATCTTGGAGGAAACTATCTATTTTGTATCAACCTAGTCGTCTTTGATCAAACACTACATTACATTACACGCATAATTCAAAACAAGTTTCATTGAAACATATGATAATTTTCTCATTTGATCATTTGTAATGTCCCGCAATGTACGTACCAAGGGTTTTGTATTATGCTTCATTATTCCTATAATTTCCTCGTCGGGATTTTCTTTTTCAAAAATAGGTGATTGACATAACATGCGCTAAAAGGATTAAATTATTGTTTTTTCTTTCGTTCCTTTCTTTTAATTCTCTACTTAATTGCATGCATTAATATTGATTACTTTTCACTCTTCTTGATGCATGTACTGTAATTTAATTATAAACAATATTATCTTGTTGTCTTTCTTTTTTTACCATTGTTGTTTTTTCGATCTGCAAAATGCTGTAAACTGTCAATCAACCCCCTTCCCTTAATTTATTATTAATTCATTACTAGTCTCTTTGACAGCTTGATGTTCAATTTGTCCTAATAAAGATTTCTTATTATTTCTTATTGTTGCCGATTTCAAGTTGTTAATGACTTTCCAAAATATTGTCGGCAAATTGTTATCGATTACCTATTGACATTTGACTCTTTTTACTATCTTGATGTTCGCCTATCGGAATTCCGACCTTAAACTCTTATCTTCCGATCTATTTCAAAGAATTCAATGAAAAACTATGTCATAAAACAAATATAAAAAAAAAATATATCAAATCAAGAATTATAAATTTTCTTTTATTTCACGAGAATGTTCGACTCTGCAAAGTAATCCCCGCATGCCGCAATCTGGTGATGTTGAAACAATTAGTTTTCTTGGAAATTTTTCTACTAAACATTGGAAATATTGGAAATTTTCATGCCAATAATGATGATTTTTGTTGTTTAATCTACATTGTTCTTATCAATACTTTGATCATTTTTGTTAATTGGATTAATTGGATTAATATGTTGTCTATTGTCTATTCGTTTTCTAAACTTAAAGCCAATCTCATGATCCATCTTCCTTTCGTTATCGTTCATCAAAAAATCGCTTTCTCATTATAAACTTTTTTAGATTAAACGACACAAATGTTTCGACATTCCAATGCGCAAATCCGGTCTTCTTATACTCCTTTACGCACAATAGGTCGTGGAACTTTTGGTAGATGCGTCCTTGTGCGCTCTAAAACAGATATGTCACAGTTATATGTCATTAAAGAGATTGACCTTTCAAAACTTAAAAACGCAAAGAATCGTATGGAAGCAAGACGTGAAGTTGAATTATTAAAACAATTAAATTGGCCTGGAATTGTTAAATTTGTTGAAAGTTGGGAAGATCATAATGGTCTCATTACCAATAAATCCAATAATTTTGTCAATTCTTTACAATATTCAACCTCTCAAGATAATGATCAACCAGAAAGAAAACTTGTCCTCCCGCAAGAATATCGGGTTTTAAATATTGTAACCGAATATATGGATGGTGGTAAGTTTCGGTTTCTCAAATTTAATTTCTTAATAATGTCATGTCACGTAATTAAGCTTTAAAAATTTCTTTTTCGCGTATCGTTATTCAAGTAATTTATTAATGATGTTTATGATTTTCCAAATATGTTCCATATGTGCGCGCGTGGTCGTCGATCTGTTTCATTATTTTTCCGCGACCGGACTTCAAAAATCCACGCGATTTTCGTTCATTTGTACAACTATATATGAAACAGGAGACCTTTATGCTATCATTCAAAACCAAAGGAGAATTGGTATTCTCTTTAAAGAAGATCAAATATTGGATTGGTTCGTTCAATTATGTTTGTCCATAAAGTATATTCATGACCATCGAATTTTACATAGAGGTAATGTTGATACGATCAGAAATTAACGTCATTTATTACCTTTTTTAAATTTAATTTTTTTTCTCCTTTTGGTATTAAAAAAAAAAACTAGATATCAAGACTAAAAATATCTTTCTTAGCAAAGATCGATCGATTGTTAAACTTGGTGACTTTGGAATCGCAAAAAAATTGAAGCATGGATTAGATTTTGCAAATACAGCAATCGGTATTTATATATTTTTTTCTCAATTTTCATCATCCATTGTTTTCTACTATTTTTAAAATGATATCATCGTTTTTAATTTATTAACCTAGGAACCCCTTTTTATCTCAGTCCCGAAATTTGTGATAACAAATCATATCCTTTTTCCAAAATCTTTTAAATCTTCGTTTGAAATTAGGGTTTAATCTTTAATATTAGTCGACCATGACCATGGATAATTGTTTATCCTTAATTTGTATTTTTTTTTTTTATTTTTTTTTTATAAACATATAATAAGATGTCTGATATTTGGGCGTTAGGATGCGTCCTCGTAATTATCATAAATTTTACTATGATATTATTTATATTATTGTCTTTATTTCTAATGTCTTCTTTATTTCTAATTTTTTTTTTTTGTTCATTACTTTCTAGTACGAAATGACGGCATTACGTCACGCGTTTGAAGCTAAAAGTACGACAGGGTTGTTTCTTAAAATTTCAAAAGGAATTTATCCACCTATTCCAAGGTATAATTTCTATGTGTATTCATATATGTGTATGTGTGCACGTGCTTGTCACATCACAGTAACGAATTTTCTTTAAGGACAACCATCTTTCTGTCATATCACAAAAGATCATCTAAAAAAATATTTAATAAATAATTAAAAATCTATTTATAGCCTCTACTCTAAAAATCTTAGAAAACTTGTTTCATCATTACTGAAAATATCCCCGAATGATCGACCTTCTGTTGAGGACATTCTTAAATTAAACTTTTTGAAAAATCACATAGAACGCGTCACGAAAAAGCTGGGACTAACTCTCTCGTGCCAGGATACTTCTTCTCAAAAGGTAAAAAAAAAAATTTTAATAAATTCGGTAAAATATATTTTATTATCATTGACTATTTTTTTTAAATTCTTCTAAATAAAGTTAAGCGTAGATCATCAATCACAATGTGAAGAAAATACTGATACTTCTTTATCGAATTCGCGATTAATTGATAATTTTTTTAAAGAAATTGGGTTTAATCCTGTTAGTAGAGTGTCTTATGGTAAAATTTACCAAGAAAAAAGACGGCAAAAACCGGCAGAGATGAATCTTAATGCATTATCATCAGAAGGAAAATCTCAAGAAACACAAGTTTCTTCAAACGTAAAAAAATCTGAGAATCACAAAAATATTCAAAAGCCACAGAATGTCGTACATAAATCACATGTGAAAGAAGAATTCATACGAAAATCTTTGGCAAAAAGTGTCAAGGTCATAACAAACCATAATGACGGCAGTACTGAAACTGGTGAAACTAAAAACAATAATCTTAAAAACAGTCCCCAACACAATGGTACTGTGGAATCTTCAGTAAATTCTAATAATGTTGATAACATCTCACCATCAAATGATGAGATTGACATTATTCGTAACAGTTATTTTTGCAGTGAGAAGACTACTAATGAAACAAGAAAACCAAGTCAAACTAGTAACATTAGAAAGATCAACGATAGTAGCGTCAAATACAGTCATGCTAGTAAATGCATTGCGTGCAGCCTTAAAAAAGTCGATAATAGTAACGCAATCTATAATAGCAACAGTAGTAACGTAGACACCAATAGGAAGGTTTCACGCAATTTTAATAATTCTAAAAAATTTGCCATCAAGCAAAAACCAATGATCCAAAATGATAAAGTTTGCGTCTTATCGAAAAAGCCATCAAGTTCATCATCTCCCATTAAAATTGATTCTCAATCACATAAAGTAACATCAGAAATAATAAAAAATTCATCGACAACTATCAAACAAGCCGTATCTGTTCCAACTAACAATGCTTCCAATGCACCAAATACTTTGCCACTTCCCACACCACCTTTATCTCCATCAAAAAAAGTTAATTCTTCTAATAATGAAGATAATATAATGCCACCTAAAATAACCATCACGTCATCATCACTTTTATACTCAATCGCTAGTAAAGACACGAAAAAGAAGTCATGGGATACACCCTTCTCACTTATTGAAGGATTAAAACAAGATCTTGAACATTTATTAGGGTTTGATAAATTCAATCAATGTTATAAACTTTTAATTTTACATCAGAAGAAGCAAAAAATTGGTGATGAAAATCAGAATCAATCAAGAAAGATAATAAGAGAAAAAATTATTGAAGCAAAGTTGAACCTTCTTCTAAACGGTAGAAGCCAACCTAATTACATACCCATTCTGAAAGAGTTGGGTAGGTAGATTTTAAAATTTCTAAATTATTATTCGCCATTGAGTGTAAACCATTAACACCATTTTTCAAAATCATGTTACTAAATCTAGTACTTTTTGAACAAGAAGCATACTTTGAGTAATTGGTGGCGTTCAGAAACAAATTTTTCGGTTATTCTCAAAAATAAAATTTCCGAATATACATCTATTGTATTAATATGGATGGCACATTTAATTCAGAGTAATTTGGAATATACATACATCATTTTTGATATATATATATATATATATATATTTTTTGATATGTTTTTCACACTGATTATATGTATATATATTATTTCATTCATATCACTCTCGAACTTGTCACAATTTTTTTTTTTTGTTAGAATAAACTAGAATAAACTAACTCAAAATGGTGAAATAGTGTTACGAAAAAAAAATAAAAATATCGCATTTATTTTCAATAAAAATAGAAAGGTCAGACTAATTATAGTAAGGAAACTAATAAATACTTTCTTATAATTAACTATAATAATATTATATAATGATACACTTCTCTAACAAATGTTTACCAATAAACATTTTTGGTAACGATTAACAAATAAAAAGAATTCGTTAAAATTTGTTATTGTTATTGTATAAAACTGATTTAATACAGACATCGATATAACGATAACGAACTCCTTTGCACCGGATTCACTGGTTTAACGGACCAAATTTGAAGTTCCGACAATTTTAAAACGGTTATTTAGTGAAAAAAAAAGCCATATAATGTACAATACGTATAACGGACATTTTCGTCAGCCCACTTGCTAATTTTATTTTAAATTACTAACCAATATAACGAATTTATCGATTTATCTGCTAGTTACCAATCATAACCCAATTCTATGACTGCGATTTATTAATGGCTATGGTCTGAATTCGCTCTATAACGGAATTTAACGTTTGTCAAGCCCATGATATTGTATAGATAACGGGACCGCTATACCGATAGTTGACTGCATTATAAATAATTTTATTTAACTGTTATTTTATTTTATACTTGTAGTTTTTTTTTTCGAAAATAAAAAAGCATTGAAAGATAAAATTAGATATATAATTTGTGTTTGAATTGAGTTTAATAGATTACTGCGTAAAAAAAAATTTCTGTCTCAAGTACGTACTACTGTAAGGGAAGATAACTTAGTGACACATTTAAGGAGAATCAAACTATGTATAACGATAATAAATATAATCATGCACACTCTAAAATGAACCGCATTTACATTAAGAAAAAATTGATCTGGGGCGTGTACCTTTTAGTTTGTGTTGACTAAACAATTATAAGGGTACAAAACTTTTTTTACTAATACCGGCGTGGCATAATAAAAAGCCAATATTTTTTAATACGTACGGATAAAATTACGTGTATTAGGCTTATATATCATGACGCTAATAGCTATTAACTTTATTAACTTTTAATACCGTAAAACCACTTTAAAAAATTTAAATTTTCTATATTTTTTATTTTTTGAAGATTATATATATAAGTTGATACTGTATATACTATATATATATACAGTATTATAATATTTAATATATATATATATATATATATATAGTTAAATTTTTTAAAAAATTATATATAAGATTATTTAAGAGAAATATTATATTCATAACACCCATGTTATATAACACCTATATACTGTAGTTTGAATTAGAGTTAGATTAGGGTTAAAGTATAGCTTTAAGATAAATTGGAGGTTTTTATATAATATAATATACAGTATATATATATATATATAGTAGATTTTATGAAAAGCTATTATCTTTTAATTATAAAAATTTTTAAATTAATATAACTTTTTAAAAACAAAAGATATTTAAAAAATTTTTTGATAATT